GAATGAATGAATTACATTAAAAGTATTTTTTAAAGCAAGCAAAAATTAAGGCATAAAAGAGTTAAATTACATAACTAATAGTGTACATTAATGTGTTACATAAATTAGTAGTTTTACTCCAATATTAATTTTCCTTTCTTACACAACAAATACCTGAATTTTAACTAGACACAAGATTTACAGAATAACAGCAACATTTCCCAGCTTCACCAGCATCTAGGTATAGGCAGATGACTAAATTACAGCAAATGAGTTGTAAGAGGATGAGAAGGTGTGAAACTTCTAAGTCATGCCCTGGAAAGAAAGAGGCCTGCCATGAGCTTCTCTTTTTTCCTTCCTTACTACTGATGGAGTTTTTGAATATAGGTGAGGTTTGGTGGGGTGAGGTCCATAGCCAACATGAAGATAGAATTCTTGAGATGTCTTTGGTACAACATGGTGGTTTTATTAAAGAACAGGGACCCGTGGGCAGAAAGAGCTGCTGCACCAGGATTGTAAGGGGTGGCTGATTATATACTTGGGAGTTGGGGGGAGGTAAGGAAAAGGGAGGTTTTCAAAAGAATTTTCAAATGCTAAAGAGGACCTCTAAGATACTGGAGGCCTTGCCATTGTCAAGTTAAGGCTGTTTTTCCCTCTACTAAGGCATTAACATTAAGACAGTTGGGAGCTTCCTGGAGGAACATTATACGCTGCCTGCCTCAAGTATTTGTGAATGGGCTGCAGATTATAAATGTAGATAAAATTAAATTTAATTTCATCTACATTTCCTTCTGGAAGTTAAATTATTGATAAGAATGCTTTTTTTTTTCTTGTAAATCACTAAGACATTTTAAACTGAGGGAGACTCTTGTCTTGGAGGACTATAATCTCTATAAATTAACCATTTGTTTTTCCTTCCTTTAGCTTTAGGGCAGCCAGGAGTGCCTGAGGATTGTCACACATTTCTCACCTGGGGCGGGGGGGAAGAGGGAGGGGCTTTGTGGGTGTCAGCTTGTGCTTTGTCCTCAGCTTGCCTTCTGCTCCCTCATCACCACCAGCTGAAACTCAGACTGGGCAGTAATCAATCTGACCATATGGACGAAGGAAATATCCTAAGGAAAGCAGAAAATCAAGATAGAAGCATTCTGGGTCCTTGACATGTGGAAGCACAAAATCAGCCCTGAATTATTTGTGCTTTGCCAGCTATGTGAGAGAGAACTAGACTTGTTAAAGCTATTGTAATTTAGGTTTCTACTGTAACAGCCAAACTATATCCTCATACAATAGATGAACTCATACAAAATATCTATATATTAAGCCCTTAATAAAGTCTACAAAGTAAAATAAGATGTTATCTGATTACAATACAATAAACCTAGAAACTATTAATAAACCCAAAACAAATAATTCAACTACCTAGATGCCTAAAAAATTTCTCTTAAAACAACTTTTGAGGAAAAACACAATTTTATAATACTTACAAATTGGTAATAATGAAAATCTACACAAAAGAAACAATGGGACACTGATAAAGCAGTGGCCAGAGAAAAAAGAAAAGTCTTAAATACTTGTATTAATAAATATAAATATGTTAATATAAAAATGAAAGTAAGTAAAGCATCCAACTCAAGAAATTATAAGAAGCTACATAAAACATAATTTAAAAAGATAAAAGAGAAATTCGTGAATCATTTATCAAAAACATGAATAAATCTAAGAGCTGATTCCTAAAAAAAGAGAGAGATAAATCCATTATCTAGTTTAATCAAGAAACAAGCGGGAAAGCTCAAATAAATAAAATAAGGAAATAAAGACATAGAAGTGTAGGGGCCAAGAGCAGGCCATCACAACATGGGCCATTTTGGCACAAACATTATTTTGAGTTAAAAACAAAGAAAATCCCAGCAGATACAGGAAAATCTCTTTACCTCCCCCACAACAGCCAGCATGTACCAGGAAGAGAGCTATTAACAGAGATCGCTCTTAACCTAAGAAATTTACCACATTAATAGAGCAACAGTTGTTTTCCAAACATCTCTCACTTTCCTGCTAATGGTCTTTCTCCCCTTTGAATCCTCAGACCCAATCTTCCTACTCAGTTCCTTGAAGTCTCATGTTGCCTCACAGTCTCTGGAATTTCCACGTCTGCGTGGAGTCCCTGTGCGTATGCTATTAAATTTGATTTTCTCCTGTTAATCTGTGTCATATTTATTTAGTCCAGGACGTTGAAGGGAAGAGAAATACTTCCTCTCCAACAGAAGAAATTAAAAGAATGAGAAACTATTTTAATAGCTTCTGTGTATAAATAAACTTTCAAAAACCTGGGTGAAATGAACAATTTTCTAGGAAAAATATATCAAAATTAGTTCCCCCAAAGATAGAAAATCAATATAGACCATTTACCATATAATAAAAAGGCTGTATAATTGAGCTTTCTACAAAGTATCAGGTTTAAATAGTTTACTAAAACTCAGGTGCAAGCCATTTCAATGTTATTTTTTGTAATATCCCAGAACACATAAAAAGAATGGTCCCTAGCTTTTTTAATGAAATGTACATAACACTTATACCTAAAAAAGAAAGAAAAAACACTACAGACCAATCTCACTTCCAAATGCAAAAATCCTAACTAAAATTTAGCAATGAAATTTGGCAGTATATTAAAAGAATGATATATTTCATGATCAAGTGGGGTTTATTCTGGAAATGTGAAGATAACTCAATATTGTGAAATATTAACATTATTTTATTGACAGATATTGAAAAAATATTATTTTCACAGAAACTGAAAAGGTATTTAGTAAAAATTCAATATCCACAGGAATGTGAATACTTCTTTAATATACGCATATCTGCTTCTCTTACTCTTTCCAACATAGTGAATTACTAAACTGAGTTTTTCCCTGGATGATTTGGGAAAATTCTTTATTAGAATTCTTTATATCTGTGTGACATATGTATCAATAGTTTTACGAGAATCTTTACTTTTTTAAAAAAAGATTTTATTTATTTATTTGAGAGAGAGCATGAGCAGGGGGAGGGACTGAGGGAGAAGCAGACTCTCCGCTGAGCAGGGAGCCGAATGCAGGGCTCTATCCCAGGACCCTGAGATCTAGACCTGAGCTAAAGGCAGATGCTTAACCGACTGAGCCACCCAGGCGCCCCTAGAATCTTCACATTTTTATGTGTTCAAATATATCAAACTTCCTTTTTTTTTTTTTTTTTTTTAAGGAAAGAGCGTTTATGAGTATGCAAGCATGAGGAGAGGACAGAGGGGGTTTGGCAGAGGGAAAGGGAGAGAGAAAATCCTAAGCAGGCACCACACTCAGCAGCACAGAGCCTGAGCCAGGGCTCAATCCCACAATCCCGACATCATGACTTGAGCCAAAATCAAGAGTCAGCTGCTTAACAGACTGAGCCGCCCAGGTGCCCCTCAAACTTTCCTTTTATAGTGGTGAGAGAAAAATTCTCTAAAGTCCTGATATACAAGGGAAGCTATTTTAGATTTCCTTCTAAGTCAGCAGTACTGTATATAAACTTTTTTCAAGCCAAAAGCCTGATGTATGGCCTGCCATGCATGCATTGTACACCTGGTTTGTGAATGAGTAGCCTAAAGGAAAACCGTCTTGTCCTTGAGATATTGATCACTGCATTCCTTGATGCCTGCCTATATGCTAATCTATAATCCTTGGAGCTTTTACAAGATGTAAAAAAGTATATAACCCTGTAAACTCATTCATTCTCTAGAACACTTTCTACCCTGCGTTTCCCAGGTAGCTATCTTAATTTGAGCTCAAGTAAAACTAATTTTTTTTCTAATATTAGAGTTCTTTGGTAACGTTGCGGTGACAAAAGCTTCTTGATTTGTGCCTTACTAAGAAAGGTCTTCTCCATTCTGAAACTATATAAAATATCATATTTTTTCTTTATGTATTTAATGTTTGATTTTCAAGTCTTTAATTCATCTGGAATTTATTTTGGAGGAAAGTTTTTTTTTAAGATTTTATTTATTTTTTCAGAGAGAGACACAGCGAGAGAGAGAACACAAGTGGGGGAGGGGGGGAGAGGGAGAAGCAGGCTTCCTGCCGAGCAGGGAGCCCAATGTGGAGCTCAATCTCAGGACCCCGGAACCATGACCTGAACAGAAGGCAGATGCTTAATGACTGAGCCACCCAGGCGCCCCTATTTTGGAAGAAAGATTAACGAAAGGTGCTAGTTTTGTTTTTTCTGCACAGGTGGCCTGTTCTCACATACCATACTAAACTTTTGCACCTGTGATTTGAAATGATAGCTTTTCCTAAACTAATTTCCATGATAGATTTGGGTTTATTTCTGGATTTCCCCTGTTGTTCTACTGACTAGTATATTAAAAAGATAGTATCAAAACTGCTTCAGTATCTGTACATTTATAATATCTTTTGATATTTAATAGGTGGTCCAACTAATTTTTATTACATATCAAAATAATAAAACTTTTATATGGAAAAAACTTCAGAAATTAAGATAGAACTCAAAGAGAAACTATTTTATCAATTTAAAACTTTTTGAGAATGTATAACATAATAGAAAAAGGACGTTTACTAGGCACCTACTGTGTTCAAACACTTTTGTGAGGAATAGAGGTGAAAGACATGATGTTATGTAAGTGAAGGAGCTTCATTTAAGTGAGGGAGTATGTTTGCTTACACAATCAGTGCTCATTCTCTCTGTCTCCATCTTTTGCTCACACACAGTCTTTAGTTTTTTTTTAGATTTTATTTATTTTTGAGATAGAGAGAGAGAGAGCATGAGTGGAGGGGGGAGGGGCAGAGGGAGAAGGAGACTCCCCGCCGAGCAGAGAGCGCCGATGTGGGGCTCGATCCCACAACCCTGGGATCATGACCTGAGGTAAAGGCAGATGCTTCACCGACTGAGCCACCCCAGGGACCCCACACACTGTCTTTACATAATCAATTTTCATCCTCTGTCTCTTTCTCACATATACTCACAGGCACATGATATTTTGTTAAACTTATACGTACCTGTTTGATTTCTTTAACAGCCAAAGTAACTGAGAACAGGACTGCCTGACTAATGCTGCTCTGACAGGAAATGTTACAGGCTGCTTCAGCTCCTTACATATATATTCCATTTCTTTCACCATTGTCCAGCTGTAACCTGAAATGAAAGAAAGAAATTCAATTTTTCTAACTGGCATCCTAAAAGTCAGTTAAATAAAAAACTAAATTAAATTACCTATGAGTGGGTAATTTATAGGTATTTTATTAAAAGTTCTATTTGGATTCAGAGTGAATTAAAATACCACTTAATACATGAAAATATTTTGAATGGAAAATAGAGACAAAAAATCAAGTCTAAAATCATACCACAAGTGACCTAGAGCAAATAAAATGTTAAAATATTAAAAAAGGTTTTACTAATCTCTCAAGCACAAAAAAAGCAAATTTTGACACTATGTTTATCTTAAAGATTCTAAGACTCTTCCCTTAGGTATATCTGCCTCATTTTTTTTTTTTTTAAGATTTTATTTCTTTGAGAGGGAGACAGAGAGAGAGAGAGTGAGCAGGAGCACAAGAACAGCGGGAGGGAGAAGCAGACTCCCTGCTGAGCAGGGAGCCTGATGAGGGGCTCAATCCCAGGACCCCGGGGATCATGACCTGAGCCGAAGGCAGAGGCCCAACCAACTGAGCCACTCAGGTGCCCCTATCTGCCTCATTAATATCCTCTATAAACATATTTTCCAGGGTGTCTGGGTGGTTGGAAGCATCTGCCTTCAGCTCAGGTCCTGATCTCAGGGTCCTGGGATTAAGCACATCGGGCTCCACACTCAGTGGGGAGTCTGCTTGTCTCTCTGCCCCTTCCCCTGCTCATGCTTGCTCTGTCTCTCTCTCTCAAATAAATAAATAAAATCTTTTTAAAAAGGTAAATAAATAAACTTAGATTTCCCATTGTGTTACTTAAGTATTCTTTTCCAACAGAAAGATGCCTGCTAGGTAGTAGATGTTTAAGAAATAATTATCTTCATGATTATTTTTTGGCTAGTCCAAACTATTTGGACTAGAGTAGAAATAGTAGAAAAATGTCCTGCTTTTTTAATGATTTTATTTATTTATTTAGAGAGAGAGCATGTGTGAGAGTTGGGGGGAGGGTCAGAGGGAGAGGGAAAGAGAGAGAATCCCAAGCAGACCATGCTTTTAGCATGGAGCCTGACATGGGATTTGATCCCATGTCCCTGAGATGATGACTTGAGCCAAAATCAAGAGTTGGATGCTTAACTGACTGAGCCACCCAGGCAACCCAAAAATGACTTTTATATATGGGTTTTAAATCATGTTAAGAGACTGTGGAAAACACACTTGCCTGTTTATAAAGGCTTTGGGAAAAAAATTTATATTTTTGGGGGCACCTGGGTGGCTCAGTCGGTTGAGCAACCAACTCCTGATTTCAGCTCTGGTCATGATCTCAGGGCTGTGAGACTGAGCCCCTCATCAGTTTCTGCACTGGGTGTGGAGCCTGCTAGGGATTCTTTCTCTTCCTCTCCTCTGCCTCTCCCCGCTTTGTCTCTCTGTCTCTAAAAAAAAAAAAAAAAGAAAGAAAGAAATTATATTTTCAAAATAACAGCCTCTATGGGGCACCTGGGTGATACAGTGGGTTAAAGTGCCCGATTCTTGGTTTCTGCTCAGGTGGTGATCTCAGGGTTGTAGACTGAGCCCCACGTTGGGCTCCACACTCAGCGTGGAGTCTGCTTGAGACTCTCTATCCCTCTTCCTCTGCCCCTCCCCGGCAGAATGAATGAATGAATGAATGAATGAATGACAGCCTCTATCCAAAACAGGCTATAAAAAATATTGGTAAATAAAGGAATATTTTACCTGCTTCTCCCTCTGCCTCTGCCTTTCTCTATCTCTCTGTCTCTCATGAATAAATAAATAAAATCTTTAAAAAAAAAAAAAAGAGGGTGCCTGTGTGGCTCAGACATTAAGCGTCTGCTTTTGGCTCAGGTCATGATCCCAGGGACCTGGGATGGAGGCCCGCATCAGGCTCCCTGCTCCGCGGGAAGCCTGCTTCTCCCTCTGCCTCTGCCTCTCTCTGTCGCTCATGAATAAATAAATAAAATCTTTAAAAAAAAAAATAAAGGAATATTTTATAGAAAGCCTATGTGGATATGTTAGTTTAGCAGCTAAATTCCTCAAGAAAGAAGGGGAATGTTCTGCTTTCCTTGAAAATCTGAAAAACTGTATCTTTGTAATTAGAAAAAGGGATTGCTAACAGAAGCTGTATTTACATGACTATAAATTTATAAACTCTTTTCTAAATCTGTGAAATAAGGGGTGCCTGGGTGGCTCAGTCAGTTGGGCATCTGACTCTTGATTTCCACTTGGGGTGCAATCTCGGGGTTGTGAGATCTGGCTCAGAGTTCAGCATGGAGTCTTCTTGGGATTCTCTCTCTCCCTCTCCCTCTGCCCCTCCCCCCACTCACATGCACAGCTCCCCCCAAAATCTGTGACATAAGAAGTAAGGAAGCATAAAGCACATGTTGGTAATGACAAGAGGGCAATGGGAAAAAAGCAGCCTGGACACATTCAACACCAAAATGACTTCAAAGTCCAGATACAGTCTAATTCAGTTAAAGCTTGAGGTTAAGCCAGAATTATACTAAATAGTGACAAAAGAAGTTTAGAATCAGTAAGGAAGTTACTAAACTATTTCTAGTTTACCTTATTTAAACACTTTGAAGTATAAGCAATATTCTTTAGTGAAACTAATAAAAATTAAAATGATTAAAAAATTAGAATTATGGTAAAGCATATTATTCTTTGTCTCAATCACATCAATTGGTGGCCCAAAGGGTTAGAACCTAAATGTCACTACTCACTAGATAGCAGTTACTCTAATCTTATGTTGGACTAAAAAGTTAACATCTAAAAACAATAATTGCAGGGGTGCCTGGGTGGCTCAGTTGGTTGGGCCTCTGCCTTCAGCTCAGGTCATGATCCCAGAGCCCCATGTTGGGCTCCTTGCTCAGCAGGGAGCCTGCTTCTCCCTCTGCCACTCTGCCTGCTTATGCTCTCTCTCTCTGTCAAATAAATAAATAAAATCTTTTAAAAAAACCCAATTATTGAAAATAAGTAAAAGATGAATTCCCTGAACACAGGATAAAGACTAACATCTCCACAGGCTCTAAATACCTTCTTAGTTTATTTTTACCATGTGGACAGGTGCTCCAGAGCATCTGATTGCTACGAGCTGTTTACCTGTAAATCACTGCCTAGGGATATATGAAGAAATAAAAAGATGAACTCAGATAGCATAATCAGTTTCAACCAGGAAAAAGCTGAATGTCAAGTCGATCCTGAAGTGAACAGGTGAAAGGAAAGAAGGGATCCAGCCTAGAGGAGAGTCTCATGGCCTCCCACTCCCCTGTCCAGCCAAAGAGAGGAAACTAGCAGTCTACTTGTGGAGCCCCTTTCAGTGTCCATGGAGTATAACTTGTGCTCTTCAACAACACACCCCCAACTTCTGGCCTCACATCACTGGAGAAGTTTTTGTCACTACTTCTTTATCTTTCTTCTGACATTGGAAGTTTGCTCCAAGGTAAAAAGAAAAAAAAAGTATAGAATGTTTTGCAAGTTCAGAGAGACCAACTCAGGATTTGTTTAAAGTTTGTAGAGGCAGCTTTGGTTAATGTAGACCATGCAAATTTCCCATCGAAGCTTAGTGACACAGTGTCACAAACAAATGCAGTCTATCTGAAATAAACGAAAGAGTCATACAGATGCCTTTAGGGCCAGACCTTTATATCCATTAGGCTCTTAGATTGTGGAATAAGTTTTTGGTTTTGTACTTAAACCTGTTATTTTTATATTTCGAGTGGATTTTAATTTGACCAATAAGAAATACATTTTAAAAATCATTACCTTCATTGACTTTCTCAGGATGCCATCCTGTTGTCCAACCCAAAGAAAATGTCACATCAGGAAAGAAGGATGTTACCATGTCTATAAAAGGTTTTGCATCCACTACCCTGCTATTTCCATTTGGACCCAGAAGAATATCAGCATTAATCCACACAGGACGTTTCAGATGTCTCTTCACATTCTCCAGGAGCATCATGGATGGTTCTACAGCTGCCAGACTAAAAACATAGTAGTTGTTGTCAATGAGACGTATTCCTAAAGTAAAAGTAAAAAGTTCTTTCAGACTAGTGGTTTCAATGTTTTCAACTTCCTAACAAAAGTGTAGTAGGATAATGCCTGAATTAAATAAAATCAAAGATCATACAGCACCAGAGGAGAAAGTTAACATATGCTGTATCTCAAAATGTTGATTTATACTTATTATTCATGAGGATACCTTAAAGGTTCTATAAATACATGAATAACGCCACTACTTGTAGACAGGCTGAAGTTTCAAAACTCTGTATTAGGAACACTCAGTATAAAATAATTTAAGAAAAGACATAAATATTCACTCATTAGAGAATGTATAAATAAGACTTAAAAATTAGATATACTCATAACCTGAAAATTCACATTTATGAAAATACCTACAGTATACCCAGGCGCTGTGTCTCTAATACTGACTCATAACCCTAGAGAAAAGAGCCTCTTTTCCTTCATGTATTCTTTTAAGTTTGGATGCATAAATATGTTTCTAAAACTGATTGCAAAGTATAAAATTATAACATCCTCTTAAAGCTTTTATACATTTCATAAACATCTTTTCTGGAAACTAGAGACAACTATATTTTAGTTACTATTTATTTATTTATAAAGATTTTATTTGTTTATTTGACAGAGAGAGAGAGACAGCGTCGAGAGAGGGAATACAAGCAGGGGGAATGTGAGAGGGAGAAGCAGGCTCCCCGCTGAGCAGGGAGCCCGATGCGGGGCCCGATGGGATCACAACCTGAGCCCAAGGCAGATGCTTAACAACTGAGCCACCCAGGCACCCTATTTTTTTTTTTTAAGATTTTATTTATTCATTCGACAGAGAGAGAGCAAGCGAGCACAAGCAAGGGGAGTGGCAGGCAGAGGGAGAGGGAGAAGTAAACTCCCCAGTGAGCAGGGAGACTGATGTAGGGCCTGATCCCTGGGATCACAACCCAAGCCAAAGGCAGTCACTCAACCAACTGAGCCACCCAGGCACCCCTTTAGTTACTATTTAAATAAAAAAGCAGTTTTACTCTTTTCTCTACATCTATTCTAACTGACATCTATAGATTTTGAAACAGTAAGGTTTTAATCAGCCTACATAAATTTTACTTATTTTTTAAGATTTATTTACTTGTTTATTTTGGGGGGGAGCAGGGGGAGGGGCAGAGGGAGAGGAAGAGAGAGAATCCTCAAGCAGACTCCCTGCTGAGAGCAGTGCCCAACACAGGGCTCCATCCTAGGACCATGAGATCATGACCTGAGACAAAATCAAGAGTTGGACACTTAACCAACTGAGTCACTCAAGTGCCCCCATAAATTTTACTTTTTAAAATAAATACACAAACTTTACTGGACTACTACATCGCTTATAATTCTGAATCTCTTCTAAACCTTTAAGGTCTAAGTTTGCTTCTGAGAAAATTAGCTTTTAATGACTACTACAGTGGGAGGCTAAAACTTGGGGAGACGGCTGTAGGAGGGGAGAACATTCAGTACCCTCTCCTCACATTTCCATCTTTCTTAACGGACTGAGTCCTCCTGCCTAGATTTCCACACTCTTCAACTCACTCCTTTCAGGCCTCCTACTCTGAGAAACTGATAACCTCATTATTTATTAGGTCATATTTATTAGTGAGCAAGGATACTGCTCATTAAAACCAGAGGAAGCCAGCCTCCAGCCTGTCACTCTGCTCCCATGTAGTGAGCTTCTTTTTGTTCATTCTTCTCCCTCTGAAATGGAGGCCCTAGATGTTAGTGGATTACTAAACTCTAATGCTGGACCTTGCAGAATTTAATTCAGATGCTGTCATTTCTCTCTCTCAAACGCTTTCTGCCTTGATCAAAATCAGTGCCGTGTTAAAACCACAATTCTAAGATCTGGCACCCCCATTTTTGGTAGAAAGCAACTTATACCTGTGACTCCAAAGCTTGCTTGTCTGCAAGTCCTGCAGCAGCAGCCAAGTTCCTGTGGGGTTCTGCTCTTCATGGATGGAAGAGGAGGAAAACCTGAACTAATCCACGCATGTCTGCCACCAACATCTCTTTTTCCAGAAAGAATTTTGATTTCTTAAGAAATTTGGTGTCTGTGGAGGTTGGGTTAAACACTAATTTCCAGTTTACATTCAGGGGGGAGATTTTTAGGCTTTCTCAATTTAGTAAGGTGATATATATAGGGCTGTTCAATAATGGTTTACTACTGGTTAACATCAGCAGACAGCATATTCTCCCCAAAATTGAAATTACACCAGCGTATATGAAGTGTCTACTATGTGTAAAGCACCGTGCAGTTAAACCTAAGGAGTTATGACACAGAACATAATGAAGAAGAATTTAATACACGTATTCTATTTTTATATGTAAATAATTTAATTATTGCTAATATAGACTATGTTAATGCTACTTTCCCTTATCAATAACTTAAATATGAAAACGAAACCTATATTAAGAAAAACCTAAAACCTTACTAAAGAAAATAAAACTTTTTGTGTTGTAGTTTTTATATTTCTGGAACAGAAAGTTGACAAAACAATGATAAAATTCTTCTTGAAGAGTAAATGTTGAGGAAAACCCATATCATTTTTGGGGGAAAAAAAAAGACTGAGGATGTATTTTGCCCAACAGCAACATATAATGTATACTTCAAAGAATAACATACCATGTTCCAGATAAAATTTTAGTACTTAGTTATTATTTGTATACCAAACAAAATAACTTAGAAGCATAAAATAAGAACTAGTAAAATTTGACTAATAGGTCCATTGGCTCCTGTTACAGAGGTAGTACAGAGTTCTGGTTCACAGTGAGAACTCTCCAGCCAGGCTGGTAGATTTCCTACCAACTATGTGACAACAAGCAGTCTACTTCCTCCTCTGCCTCTGTTTCCTTTATCTGGAAGTGAGGATGAAAGCAATAAGCTGCCTCCCAGGATTGTTACGAGGATTAAATGAATTAACGCATTCAGTGCTCTGAGAAAAGTGTCTGACACAGTATACATGTCCATATAACTGTTAGTTAAATTCATTCCCCTTCAAATATGTTATGACCAAAAACTTTGCAAAATCCTTTTCTTAGTGGCTCAGCTCATGTGTGTGTGGTAGCTGCTAGGAATGAATGAGTTGATCTGACTAGTGAGGAGCCAAAGAATGTATCAGAGAGAACAATTCAATGGGCAATAGTAAACATACACATGAAAAGGCAAGGATAGCTAAAACTCTGAGTTACCAAACATTAAAGATCAAATGCTTTATTTCACGGTACAGAGAAAACTGAACTAGCTCCAGGAAACCTGGGATCTCGGCCTAGCTCAGCTGTCAAGTTCAGCTATTGTTCTTGGGTCAATTATTTAACTTCTCTGGGACTAAGTCTCTTTGTCAATAAAATAGAGTTGGGCCATTCGACACTCTAAGAGCTTTAAGATCTTAAAATAGTTCTCTCCGGGGGGGTGGGGGGTGGGTGGCTCAGTTGGTTAAGTGCCTGCCTTCGGCTCAGGTTGTGATCCCAGGGTCCTGGCATTGAGCCACGTATAGGGGCTCCCTGCTCAGCAGGGAGTCTGCTTCTCCCTCTCCTTTCCTCCTGGCTTGTGCTCTCTCTCACTCACTCTCTCAAATAAATAAATAAAATCTTAAAAAAAAAAAAGGTCTCTCATTCACTAAGAGTGTAATGAGGTTGACTGGTATATTTAGCCCTACAACAAACAGAGTCACCTTAATAATTCTGTAAGTAAGATTTCCAAATCTTATTAATTTCTTGAGAATATTCAATTTAAAAATATTGTTCATAGATAAGGTAGGTTTACCACAAATCCTAGATTTTCTTTTCTTTTCTTTTAGATTTTATTTATTTGAAAGAGGGAGAGTGAGCGAGAGAGAGAACAAGCTGGGAGGAGAGGCAGAGTGACAGGGAGAAGCAGACTCACCACTGAGCAGGGAGCCCGATGCGGGGCTTGATCCCAGGACCCTAGGATTATGACCTGAGCCGAAGGCAGATGCTTAACCCACTGAGCCACCCAGGTGCCCGAAATCCTAGATTTTCATAGCAGTCACCTTCATGGGACTTATGGTGAGCTTTTGTGATATCACACTATATTCCTGGGTTTATCTATAATTTTTACACTGCCAAAATACTGTAAAATTTTCCAGACAGCCAGAGAAAAGGAAATAACACTTAATCTTGCTCTTCATTGTCAATGCTTCCAAAATGTTATTTATAAAGAACTCTTGGGTTATTGAAAGACTTCTAGATAATTCTCCATATACAAATATAACATAAATCAAGTAGGATATGCATTAACTACCCAAACTACTACGAACTCTCTCTCTCAGACTATTTTTTTTTTAAGAGGGGGAGTGGGGGGTAGGCAGAGGGAGAAGAGAATCTTAGGCAGGCTCCATACCCAGCACTTTGCACACTTTGCACTCGGGACTTGATCTCACAACCCTGAGATCATGATCTGAGCCAAAATCAAGAGTCTGATGCTTAAATGACTGAGCCACCCAAGTTCCCCTTGGACTACCTTTTATTTTTTTAAGATTTTATTTATTTATTTGACACAGAGAGACATAGCGAGAGCGGGAACACAAGCAGGGGGAGTGGGGAGAGGAAGAAGCAGGCCTCCCATGGAGCAGGGAGCCCGAGGTGGGCCTCAATCCCAGGACCCTGGGATCATGACCTGAGCTAAAGGCAGACACTTAACCACTGAGCGACCCAGGCACCCCTCGCCTCAGACTACTTTAATGAAAGTAGCATTTTAAATTTACCATTCTATTATCACAATGGTCACTTATGATAAATTCCTTTGCAAAAATGAACTTAATTTTAGCCTCAAAGGGTTCCTAAGAAACAATTTAAGTGACCAACTCAATAGGTCTTAGGTCCCTTCTTGAAACATATTAGTTTGCAATTCCATTTCCAGTTTAAAGTATAAAGTTAGTTAGTCAAGCACAGATATATGAAGCTATTAATCTTTTAATTTCATTGTTATTCTCTAACAGCTAAATGACTGAAAATGTTTATACAAATACCTCTTGAAATCCAGCTTGATGCCTTTATTGCTTTTTATAACTGCAGTCAGCCATTCCTGTAAAGTATTATCACTATTTGTTTCAGGAGGATGGGCCATGATCGGTTGGCTATATTCTGATCCATCACTTGGAAGAAGGACATCGGCCTCTATCATGTGAGCAGTGCCTGTCCAAATAAAAGAACTTAAGTTAATGCTAATAAAATAGGGACTGAAGAAGATGTCATGTCCAGTAGCCTTTTGAGGAAGATAAAAACTAACACTTACTGAATAACTACTAAGTACCAGGTACCGTACTAGGCCTTCATATGGTTGTTTGTTTCACAGATGAGCAAACAGGTGAAGAGTTAAATGCCTTTCTGTAGATCATACAGCTCTTAAGCTGTTGTTAAAATATTTAATTTCTGGGCGGAGGAATAGGGGACCCTATTCCAACCAGTCCCAGAATTGAGCTGGATATCTACGAGACCACTCTGAACACCCATGCAATCAGCCTGAGATGTAAGAAGATAGATCTGAATCTCTACAAACAAAATATCGCAGGCAGTTGGTTTTGAGGTATGAAGTGGGGAGCCATGATTCCGCGGGTAGATATCGGAGGATAAACGGAAGGGGGAGGGAGCCAAGCCTTCAGAATCCTGCACTGCCAGTGAGTGATAGCCTCCTGAGCTGGGGACCGGGCACAGACTCGCAGACTGGTAGCGAAGGGAAAAGACTTTAGGGCAGCCCCCCAGACTGAAACTAAGAGCAGCGGGCCGCACGTATGAACTGGAGGTAGCTGGTGGTTTTAGAAGCACAAAGGGGAGAGAGGTGTTCCGACCTGGAGGCGAGAACTGGGAGAGCTGCTGAGGGGCACACAACCCAGGATGCTGCAGTTTATAGCAGCACAGACAGGAACGGAGATAGTGTGGCCTGGAGAGCTCACTGAAGAACAGATTGCGATCTCTCCGCTCTGAGGCAGAGGGTTGGAAACGATCTCTTCTGCCTTGACTCTCGGAAGAGACGCAGAAAGCCTCCAGGGAAAGCCACCAGAGAACAAAAGCCCCAAAAAACCAGTTTTCACTGAGCCCATCCCCCACCACAGGGGGCAGGGTAACTGCCCAAACAGGGTTGCCTGAGTAACAGCACGGCAAGCCCCTCCCCCAGAAGACAGGCTGGGAGAACAAGAGGCCAGCAACCCTAAGGTCCCTATAAAACAGGTGCATCTTCCTTGGGTTGTGGTCAATAATTTGAACTCTGTACATTCCATCAACCACCCCTCAACAAAATGACCAGGAGGAGGAACTCCCAAAATAGGAAAGACTCAGAGACTGTGACTATTTCTGCCAAAGATTTACAAATGGATACAGATATAACCAAGATGTTAGAGATGGAATTCAGGGTAGCAATTGTGAAGATAATAGCTAGAATGCAGAAATCGATTAATGGCAACATAGAGTCTCTAGGGGCAGAAATGAAAGATGAATTGGCAGAACTTAAAAATGCTATCAATGAGATCCAATCTAATCTAGATAATCTAACAGCTAGGGTAAGCGAGGCAGAAGAATGAATTAGTGATCTAGAAGACCAATTAATAGACAAGAAGGAAAAAGAGGAAGCCAGGGAAAAACAACTCAAAATCCATGAAAATAGAATCAGAGAAATAAGTGACACCATGAAACGTTCCAATGTCAGAATTATTGGAATCCCTGAGGGGGAGGAGAGAGAGAGGAGTAGAATACATATTTGAGCAAATCGTAGATGAGAACTTCTCTAATAGGGGGAATTAAACAAACATTCATGGTCCTAGAGGCAGAGAGGACTCCTCCAAAGATCAAGGAAAACAGGCCAATGCCCCGGTACATAATAGTAGAACTCTCAAATCTTAGACCAAGGAAACCATCTTAAGAGGCAGAGAGGACTCCTCCAAAGATCAAGGAAAACAGGCCAATGCCCCGGTACATAATAGTAGAACTCTCAAATCTTAGACCAAGGAAACCATCTTAAGGGCAGTGATCAAAAACCGTCCAAAAAACAAGAGTCCAGGGCCTGATGGATTCCCTGGGGAATTCTACCAAATATTCAAAGAAGAAATAATACCTACCCCCCGAAGCTGTTTCAAAAAATAGAAACAGAAGGAAAGCTTCCAGACTCATTCTATGAGGCCAGCATTACCTTAATTCCCAAACCACACAAAGACTCCATCAAAAAGGAGAATTTCAGACTGATAGCCCTGAAGAATATGGATTCCAAAATTCTCAACAAAATCCTAGCTAATAGGATCCAGCAGTACATTTAAAGGATCACCCACCACAACCAAGTGGGATTTATCCCAGGGATGCAAGGGTGGTTCAACATTCGCAAATCAATCAGTGTGACAGAACACATTAATAAGAGGAGAGAGAAGAACCATATGGTTATCTCAATTGATGCAGAAAAAGCATTTGACAAAATACAGCATCCTTTCCTGATTAAAACTCTTCAGAGTATAGGGATAGAGGGAACATTCCTCAAGTTCATAAAATCCATCTATGAAAAACCCACAGCGAATATCATCCTCAATGGGGAAAAGCTGAGAGCCTTTCCTTTAAGATCAGGAACACGACAAGGATGCCCACTCTCGCCGTTATTGTTCAACATAGTACTAGAAGTCCTAGCAACAGCAATCAGACAACAAAAAGAAATAAAAGGTATTCAAATTGGCAAAGAAAAAGCCAAACTCTCTCTCTTCACAGATGACATGATACTTTATGTGGAAAATCCAAAAGACTCCACCCCCAAATGACTAGAACTCATACAGCAATTCAGTAATGTGGCAGGATACAAAATCAATGCACAGAAATCAGTTGCTTTCTTATACACTAACAATGCAACTGTAGAAAGAGAAATTAGAGAAACGATTCCATTTACAGTAGCACCGAAAACCATAAGATAACTCGGAATAAACCTAACCAAAGAGGTAAAGGATCTATACTCTAGGAACTACAGAACACTCATGAAAGAAATTGAAGAAGACACAAAAAGATGGAAAAATATTCCATGCTCATGGATCAGAAGAATAAACATTGTTAAAATGTCTATGTTACCCAGAGCAATGTATACCTTCAACGCCATCCGAATCAAAATTCCAATGACATTTTTCAAAGTGCTGGAACAAATAATCCTAAAATTTGTATGGAATCAGAAAAGACCCCGAATCGCCAAGGAAATGTTGAAAAAGAAAAACAAAGCTGGGGGCATTCACGTTGCCTGATTTCAAGCTATATTACAAAGCAGTGATCACCAAAGACAGCATGGTACTGGCACAAAAACAGACATATAGACCAGTGGAACAGAGTAGAGAGCCCAGATATGGACCCTCAATTCTATGGTCAAATAATCTTCGACAAAGGAGGAAAAAATATGCAGTGGAACAAAGACAGTCTCTTCAATAAATGGTGCTGGGAAAATTGGACAGCTATATACAGAAGAATGAAACTCAACCGTTCTCTAACACCATACACAAAGAGAAACCCAAAATGGATGAAAGACCTCAATGCGAGACAGGAATCCATCAAAATCCTAGAGGAGAACATAGGCAGTAACCCCTTTGACATTGGCCACAGCAACTTCTTTCAAGAATCATCTCCAAAGGCTAGTGAAACAAAAGCAAAAACGAACTTTTGGGACTTCATCAAGATAAAAAGCTTCTGCACAGCAAAGGAAACAGTCAACAAAACAAAGAGGCGACCCACAGGATGGGAGAAGATATTTGCAAATGACAATACAGATAAAGGGCTGGTATCCAAGATCTATAAAGAACTTCTCAAACTCAACACCCAAAAAACAAATAATCAAGTCAAAACAGACACTTCTCCAAAGAAACATATAAATGGCTAACAGACACATGAAAAAATGTTCAACATCATTAGCCATCAGGGAAATTCAAATCAAAACCACACTGAGATACCACCTTATACCAGTTAGAATGGCAAAAATTTACAAGGCAAGAAACGACAAATGTGGGTGCCTGGGTGGCTCAGTTGGTTAAGCGACTGCCTTCGGCTCAGGTCATGGTCCTGGAGTCCCAGGATCAAGTCCCGCATCGGGCTTCCTGCTCAGCGGGGAGTCTGCTTCTCCCTCTGACCCTCTTCCCTCTTGTGCTTTCTATCTCTCACTCTCTCTCTCTCTGAAATAAATAAATAAAATCTTTAAAAAAAAAAAAGAAACGACAAATGTTGGAGAGGTTGTGGAGAAAGGGGAACCCTCTTACACTGTTGGCAGGATTGCAAGTTGGTACAGCCAATTTGGAAAACAGTGTGGAGGTGCCTCAAAAAATTAAAAATAGAACTATCCTATGACCCAGCAATTGCACTACTGGGTATTTACCCCAAAGACACAGATGTAGTGAAAAGAAGAGCCATATGCACCCCAATGTTCACAGCAGCAATGTCCACAATAGCCAAACTATGGAAAGAGCCGAGACGTCCTTCAACAAATGAATGGATAAAGAAGATGTGGTCCATATATACGATGGAGTATTACTCAGCCATCAGAAAGGATGAATACCCAACTTTTACATCAACATGGATGGGACTGGAGGAGATGATGCTAAGTGAAATAAGTCAAGCAGAGAAAGTCAATTATCATATGGTTTCATTTATTTGTGGAACATAAGGAATAGCATGGAAGACATTAGGACAAGGAAGAGAAAAACGAAGGGGGGGAATCAGAGGGAGAGACAAACCATGAGAGACTACGGACTCTGAGAAACAAACTGAGGGTTTTAGAGGGACGGGCATGGGGGGATGGGTTAGCCCAGTGACAGGTGTTAAGGAGGGCACATATCGCATGGAGCAACTGGGTATTATACGAAAACAATGAATCGTTGATCACTACATCAAAAACTAATGATGTATTGTATGGTGGCTAACATAACATAATAAATAAAATAAAATAAAATAAAATAAAATAATATTTAATTTCTTCCCAGTACACAGCAAAGTGAATATACAAAGGAAAGATTAATAAGTGTTTGTTGAAGTTTCTGAGAATAAAAATAGTACTTTTATCTTCTCACTCCTCAAATTAGAAACCGTAGATATTTATTGCTTATAGTCACACTTTTCCTGAAGATGTTACAAAAGCTTTTTTAAATACATTTTTATTCTCAAAAAGACTTAATGTTTTCTATTTTTCTTACCAGCATACTTTTTAATATGAATGTGTTTAAAATCTAAATGCTAATAAATAAATAAATAAATAAAATCTAAATGGTGAAATACTGTAACATAAAATTATGTTTAATGTAATAACTTCTGTAACAACTTTGACTATTCTGAGATCTGGATGGGTTGACAATGCAATACCAAGTGGTACTTTTACATTGTTCCTCCTGTACTCTGTTTTTTTAAATCATAGACATTGTTGAAAATCCAGTTTTACATGTTAGCCAAACTGCAACAGCTCTATTACTAATAGTTATACTAAGTTTAAATATTCTGGGAGAAATGAGATAAACCACTGTTTATCATGACATTATCATGTCTCTAGGATCCTCTCTTTTCCCTTTAGACTCAAAGAAATTGCAAAACTAACCATGGCTGAAAAAAGGGATTTGTGAAGAGCATTCCCAAACTATAAAATCTGGGGCTCTGGTTTTGCCTAACAGAATGTTAAAAGGACATTATCTGAAGACTACATAACCTACGAAAACTTCCCAGATCAACATCAGACTGTCAGTAATTGGAAATGACTTTCCATTAGCAATTTTAAAAACAAGGTGAATGGATGGAACTAGAGGGAATTATGCTAAGTGAAATAAGTCAATCAGAGAAAGACAATTATCATATGATCTCACTCATATGTGGAATTTAAGAAACAAGGTAGAGGATCATAATGGAAGAGAGGGAAAAAAATCAAACAAGATGAAACCAGAGAGGGAGATAAACCATAAAAGATTCTTAACCTTAGGAAACAAACTGAGGGTTTCTGGAGGGGAAGGGGGTGGGGGGATGGGGTAACCAGGGGATGGACATTAGGGAGGGTATATGTTGTAATAAGCACTCGGTATTATATAAGACTGATGAATCACAGACCTGTACCCTTGAAACAAATAATACATTATATGTTAATTAACTGAATTTAAGTTAAAAATAAAAAATTAAAGTTAAAAAAAATTTTTTTAAAAAGAAAAATAAAACAAGGTTAAAAGTGAAGTATCCACATTTAATTAGATTATTTCTAGTATAAGATTTCAGCATATACTATTATAAATTGTAAATTTTTCACGATTTTTTCCAAATTTTTAGTTGTTGTTACATGGAAATAAAATTTATTTTCTGTTTGACTTTGTATCCTGAGATTTTCTAAATTTACCCATGAATTGCAATCATTTATCTGTAGCAACTTTTTGATTTTCTATATACACAACCATACTGTCTGTAAGTAGTACTTTTATTTCTTCCTTTTTTCCATTTTTAAAAATTAACATGCGGTGCCTAGGTGGCTCAGTTGGTTGGGCGTCTGCCTCAGCCGGGGTCATGATCCCGGGGTCCTGGGATAGAGTCCTGTGGGCTCCCTGCTCAGCGGGGAGTCTGCTTCTCCCACTGCCCCTGCCCCCTGCTCATGTTCTCTCTCTTGCTCACTCTCTCTGTCTCTCAAATAAATGAATAAAATCTTTTAAAAAATGAACATATAATTCACAGACCATAAAATTCACACTTTTAAAGTATACCATTCATGGTTCTTTTTATTTTATTTTTTTAGATTTTTAAAAATTTATTTATTTGACAGAGAGAGCACAAGCAGGGGGAGTAGCAGGCAGAGGGAGAAGGAGAAGCAGGCTCCCCACTGAGCAAGAAGCCCATACACAAGAAGGGGGAGTGGGAGAGGGAGAAGCAGGCTCCCCGCTGAGCAGGGAGCTCAATGTGGGGCTCCATCCAGGACGCTGATACATGACCTGAGCCAAAGGTAGACACTTAACTGACTGAGCCACCCAGGTGCTCCAACTTAGTGGCTTTTTAGAATATTCAGAAGGCTGTGCAACAACCACCAGTACCTAATTCCAGAAAAACTTCATTATCCCAAAAAGAAACCCTGTACCCATTAGCATTTACTCCCTATTCTCTACTCTGGCCAGCTCCTGTCACCCACTAACCAACTTTTTCCTGAGCGTTGCTTTTGCTAAAATTCATTTATTACACAATCACTGTGTGGTTATTATGTGTTAGGCACTGTTTTAGGTATCAAGGATTCAATACTAAACCAAAGTTCCTCCTTTTGAGGAGAAAGAATAACAATTAAAAAATATCTTGGGCGTGCCCGGCACTAAAGTGGTAAGGATAGATTTTAATCAGTATTAACTCCTGCAATAGGGAAAGGAACCCACCATGTGCTGAACTCAATTTCTATTTGTACGAAGGTGCCTGGACATTTCAAAGGGGGAATGAACGAATAAGGAGGAGGGTGGGCAGGGGCTCAGTAGAGTCAGGGAAGTGAAAAATTACAAAAATCAAGGGAGGTTGATCCATGGAAAACTCTGGGTTTGCTAACTGGTGCTTGTTAAAGTTAGGCTCCTACTATCCCACAGAGAATAAGAAATAGGGGTCTTATCTTCAGATGCTGAGTAGAAGGAATAGGAAATTCCTTTGGCATGGTTGAATTTTCTCAGGCAGGCATTTTAAGGGTAGCTAGAGGTCATCCTAGTTATGAGAACTTGATCTATTAGAAACTATGTTAGAGTTTGTTCAAGTGTTTATAGACCAAGGTTAAGTCTAGTTGAGAAGAGTGTTCAAGAGAGCCTGGCTAGAGTTTGGTCAAAAATAGAATCTTTGTCAGTCGTTTCCAACATAATGTTTTGTCCTTTTCCTCTTAAGCAAAGTTGAGATAATTATTGTTATCACAATTGAAAGAATCCTAAATAATAAATTAATTATATACTTGGAATAATTTTCTAAAAGTAGAATAAATATATCAAAGTATATTTAAAAATATATATATATCTTGGGCGCCTGGGTGGCTCAGTCGGTTAAGCATATGCCTTCTGCTCAGGTCATGATCTCAGGGTCCTGGGATTGAGCCCCACATGGCCCCCTGCTCTGCGGGGAGCCTGCTTCTCCTTCTGCCTCTGCCTGCCATTCCACCTGCTTGTGCGTGCTCTCTCTCTCTGTCAAATAAATAAATAAAATCTTTAAAAGAAATAAATAAAATGAAAGATATCTTTACAATAAAAGAAATATATATTCAGATATATTATCCAGATACATAATTGAGTAGGATGCAAAAGATGCATAGATTTTTTACAATAAAACTTGGGACTGAGAAGTTTTCCTCATTGTACCAGGTCATTTTGAGCTATGCCCCAGACCTCTCTAGTAATATGCTTTTAGTCTCCTGTGCTGCTGCAGCCAACATGGGTACTTCATAGGAAGAGGCTAAAAAAACTGCTAATGTGTTCATCTATAATGAAGGGATATATATATATGTGTGTGTGTGTATTATATATATATATATATATATATATATAAAATTATAGATTAAGTTAGTAAACCAAAGTCTTGGTTTCTAGCCTAAGCATAAATCCTGCCCAAGGCAATTAATTATAAATTAGTATACAATGGCTTCATCCATCTATCAACAAATATTTATTGAACTTCTCCTTAGTTCACTATGAAAGACACAAAAATATGTAAGACACACAACACTGATCTTAAAAACTTACTCAAATCACTACAATATATAAGCAAGTGTAATAATACATTGAGAGTTTCAAATAGACACAGAAAAGGTAAATCACTTCTGGAAAATAAGAAAATTCTTCCATTATGGAAATTTGTCCATTTTGTAAACAAAATGAGATCTTTTATAAAAATGTTTATGTCAGCCTAGGATTTACACTTTGATCATCTAAGTCTTTGATACCTACAAATATGTCCAGATATCAAAAAAAGAGCTGAATTAATCTATCCTGTGTAAATACAAGAAACTGTATTGACTTACTTTTCAGTGCCTCATTCAGTTGTGCCTTGTGGTTAGCTGCATGATACCAGACGATCTCAGCGCCATCTTCTGTTGTGATCAGGTTATTTCTCAGAAAATATTCTAGTATATTTTCACTCCAAGATCCTAAAACAACATTTATATCAAAACGAATGGATTGTTTTTTATGGTGTAAACATTTTTTAATAAGAATGGGCAGAACATACTTTGGGGAAGAACATAAAGTAATTTAACTGGGAATTATATAAGGTCTTAAAAATTGAGAACAAGTATTATGATGTGCAGTTATATATTATATATACAAGCATGGTATATATGATATAAGTAATAATTAGTAAGCATATAGGATAGTCTATCTGAAACTCAGAAGCATGAGGAAGTATGGAGGAAGAAAAAGAAATGGGAAGAAGCAGATATTTTAAAGCAAGAATTTTTACATGATATTGTGTCTAATCCTGGACTATAACTAAGTAAAATGTACGTGGTCATATTAAAAGCTATATTAAAACTTCTTAAATTTTGTGCAACTTGTTTTATCCACCTGAGACCCCATTCCATATTTATGTTAATTTAGAATCTTGTAAGCGTATTCACCTTCGGATTATGAATCTCAACAACATTTATATGAGTGACCAAACTCCTGAATTAGAATTATAGATTTATCTAGCATGTACAAATACAGATAATTCCCATATCTATCAACTCTTTTTTGGCTCACCAGATTTTCTCTTAATTAAGCCTTAAAATATGTGAGTTAATCAAGACTAAAATACTTGAATCCAAGTCTACTCCACACTATGTCATATCCCAATATCACAATGAGAAAAATAGTTATCTACCTAATTCTTATTTATTCATTTAAACATTTTAGTGCCTACCAATTGGCTGCAAATTCCTTATGCATGAGATTATGTCTTCTATTAATTATTTATTAACTCTGCCTAATAACTGTTAAAAACCTACAAATGGCCAGCAGAAACTGCCAATAAGACATTGAGAAAAAGTAGATTTTGATTAGAGAATGGAGGGACATATAAAGAGAACTTCTAACTAATATGCATGGAACCTAGCAACCACTCTGTATATTGGGCTACAGAATAAAGGTGAGAGTTAGCTGCAGCATCCACTATAGCCCAAAACACATGGCTGTCTTTAGCATATGCAACAGTCACAGACTATTCAGACTCAGATGAAAATACATAGTAATTTTTAAAATATTTGAGTTAGGCATTTTTAGAAGGCAAATTATAGGCTAAAACAGAAATGTCCTACAATGGGAAAATAATTAAAACATAGTACATCTTCATAAAATATGTGACTGATAATGGCTGTTAAAAAAGTTTTTGAGAGATACCAAAAGTCTCACAGAAATGGTAATCATACATATTATTACAAAAAAACTAAAAGTTAATTGTGCATATTGGGTATGTCTGTGGCACCTTTCAACTAGACACACTGCATTCACAATTTTTATAAGGGTAACTTACAAATTAACAATTAAATACCATAATTCCAGCAATTGAAAACATTTGAAGTAAAAAGTTCTCCTTGCCCTATTAATGGGTGAAACTGGCCTTACACTTACCCACAACAGTGTATGTATTTAGAATTTAAGAAGGCTCCAATTACCTATGATCTAGTGTATTATTGCCACTTTAACTAGGCTATAACTGAAAATAGGACAAAGAGAAAGTCAAAATTAGTTGTAATTTTTTAATTAGGACTTTTTGGGAAGTAGTTTTAGGTTTATAGAAGATGTGCCCTCCCCTATTTTTTTACATCTTTTTGAGGTGATGGAAATGTTTTAAAATTGATTGTGGTGATGTTTACACAACTCTGATACACTAAAAACCACTATATTATATATGCTTTAAATAAGTGAATTGTATGGTATGGAAATTATATCTCAATGAAGTTTTTTTTTATTTTATTGTTATATTAATCACCATACATTACATCATTAGTTTTTGACGTAGCGTTCCACGATTCCTTGTTTGCGTATAACACCCAGTGCTCCATTCAATACGTGACCCCCCTTAATACCCATCACCAGGCCAAACCATCCCCCCACCCCTCTCCCCTCTAGAACCCTCAGTTTGTTTCTCAGAGTCCACAGTCTCTCATGGTTCGTTTCTCCCTCCAATTTCCCCCCTTCATTTTTCCCTTCCTACTATCTTCTCTTTTTTTTTTAACATATAATATATTATTTGTTTCAGAGGTACAGGTCTGTGATTCATCAGTCTTACACAATTCACAGCACTCACCATTGCACATACCCTCCCCAATATCTATCATCCAGGCACCCTATCCCTCCCACCCTCCACCACTCCAGCAACCCTCAGTTTGTTTCCTGAGATTAAGAATTCCTCGTATCAGTGAGGTCATATGATACATGTGTTTCTCTGATTGACTTATTTCACTTAGCATAATACCCTCTAGTTCCGTCCACATTGTTGCAAATGGCAAGATTTCAGGGTTTTTTTGATGGCTGCATAATATTCCTTTGTATATATATATGCCACATCTTCTTTATCCATTCATCTGTTGATGGACATCTTGGCTCTTTCCATAGTTTGGCTATTGTGGACATTGCTGCTATAAACATTGGGGTGCATGTATCCCTTTGGATCACTGCATTTGTATCTTTGGGGTAAATAACCAGTAGTGCAATTGCTGGGTCATAGCATAGCTCTATTTTCAACTTTTTGAGGAAGCTCCATACTGTTTTCCAGAGTGGCTGCACCAGCTTGCATTCCCACCAATGGTGTAGGAGGGTTCCCCCTTCCCCGCATCCTCGCCAACACCTGTCGTTTCCTGACTTGTTAATTTTAGCCATTCTGACTGGTGTGAGGTGGTATCTCATTGAGGTTTTGATTCGGATTTCCCTGATACCTAGCGATGTTGAGCACTTTTTCATGTGTCTGTTGGCCATTTGGATGTCTTCTTTGGAAAAGTGTCTGTTCATGTCTTCTGCCCATTTCTTGACTGGGTTATTTGCTCTTTGGGTGTTGAGTTTGATAAGTTCTTTATAGATTTTGGATACTAGCCCTTTATCTGATATGTCATTTGCAAATATCTTCTCCCATTCCGTCGGTTGTCTTTTGGTTTTGTTGACTGTTTCCTTTGCTGTGCAAAGCTTTTTATCTTGATGAAGTCCCAATAGTTCATTTTTGCCCTTGCTTCCCTTGCCTTTGGCGATGTTTCTAGGAAGAAGTTGCTGCGGCTGAGGTTGAAGAAGTTGCTGCCTGTGTTCTCCTCTAGGATTTTGATGGATTCCTGTCTCATATTTAGGTCCTTCATCCATTTTAAGTCTATTTTTGTGTGTGATGTAAGGAAATGGTCCAACTTCATTCTTCTGCATGTGGCTGTCCAATTTTCCCAACACCATTTGTTGAAGAGACTGTCTTTTTTCCATTGGACATTCTTTCCCCCTTTGTCGAAGATTAGTTGACCATAGAGTTGAGGGTCCATTTCTGGGCTCTCTATTCTGTTCCATTGATCTATGTGTCTGTTTTTGTGCCAGTACCATACTGTCTTGATGATGACAGCTTTGTCATAGAGCTGGAAGTCCAGAATTGTGATGCCGCCAGCTTTGCTTTTCTTTTTCAATATTCCTCTGGCTACTTGGGGTCTTGCTCTATAATGAGCATGTATTATGTTTACAATCAGGAAAAAACTTAGGCTGAAAAAAGAGTATGTCACCAAAACTGTCTAATGTGACTACTTAGGTTTATGTAAAAGATACTGTAACCCTCTGGGGGCCCCTGGGTGGCTCAGTCAGTTAGGGCCCCTGGGTGGCTCAGTAAAACATATGCCTCTTGATTTCAGCTCAGGTCATGATCTCAGGGTCCTGGGATCGAGCCCCGCACCCAGCTCCTTGCTCAGCAGGGAGTCTGCTTAAGATTCTCTCCCTCTCCCTCTCCAGCCCCCTCGATATCTCTCAAATAAATAAATAAATCTTAAAAAAAAAAAGATAATGTAACCTTCTGGAGTAGAATGCCTGGTTTAAAACACCTCTAACTCTGGGGTCAAGGGACAGGGACACACTAATTACCAGCTTCTGAAAATTGTATAACAAAAAGCTGGAATAATTCTTGACCACATCCCTTTGTCTTCATTTCTCACTCTCACCCAATTCCAAGAGAAATCAGACTGACCAAAACTACTCCCCATTTGATCGAATGAAATTACAGATCAGGTAAATGTCACTTTCAGCCAGGACCTCAAGATGCAACAGTCTACCCCCTCACCACTCCTTTTCAACATCACACTAGAAGTTCTAGTTATGCACCAAGACAATAAAAGTAAATAAAAAGTATACAGATTGGGGAAGAAGATATAAAACAGTCTTTGTTCACAGATGACATGATTATATATGCAAAGAATCTGAAAGAATCAACACAAAAACTCCCAGAATTAATAAGTGATTGTTGCAAGCTTGAAGGATACAAGGTTAATATATTAAAGTCAATTGTTTTTCTACTTACCAGCAAAAAACAAGTGGAATTTGAAATGAAAAACACTATACCATTTACATTAGCACCCAAAAAGCCAAAAATACTTAGGTATAAACCTAACAAAATATGTACAAGACCTATAAAAAGAAAACCACAAAACTCTGATAAATGAAATCAAAGAACTAAATGGAGATATTCCATGTTCATGGATAGAAAGACTCAATATTGTCAAGATGTCAGTTCTTCCAACTTGATGTACAGATTTGAGCAATCACAATCAAAATCCCGCTAAGTTATTTTATAGATATTGACAAACTGATTCAAAAGTTTATATGGAGGGCCTAAAAACCAGAATAACAAAGAGGTGACAGTACCCAACACCAAGACTTACTATAAAGCTACAGTAATTAAGTCAGGGCAGTACTGGTGAAAAAACAGACATATAGATCAATGGAATAGAACAGAAAGCCCTGAAGTAAACACCCTGTAAATATAGAGTCAACTTATCTTTGACAAAGGAACAAAGGCAATACAATGGAGTAAAGATAATCTTTGTAACAATGATGCTGGAACAACTGGACATCCACATGGAAAACAATGAATCTAGAAACAGACCTTACATCCTTCACAAAAATTAAACGTAAAACTATAAAACTCCTATAAGATAATATAGGAGAAAATCTAGATGACCTTGGGTATGGTGATGACTTTTTAGATACAACACCAAAGGCGCCATCCATGAAAGACATAATAGGTAAGCTGGACCTCATTAAAATGAAAAAACTTTTGCTCTACAAAAGTCACTATCAAGAAAATGAAAAGACAAGCCACAGACTGGCAGAAAATATTTGCAAAAGGCACATCTGATATTGGACTGTTATCCAAAATATTAACACTTAAAACTCAAACAATAATAATCAAATTTATTTTAAAAATGGGCCAATGACTTTATCACCAAATATAAAGAAATGTCAAGCATTTGAAAAAGTGCTCCACATAATATGTCATCAGAGAAACACAAAAGAACACTGACAACACCGAATGCTGGTGAGAGTGGAGCAACAGGAACTTTCATTTACTGGTGGTGGGAACGCGAAATGGTACAGCCACTTTAAAAGTTAGGCAGTTTCTTACAAAACTAAACATACTCTTACCATACAATCCAACAATTGTGCTCCTTGATATTTACCCGAAGGAGTTGAAAACTTAAGTCCATACAAAAACCTGCACATAGATGTTTACATTGGCTTTATTCATAACTGCCAAAAATTAGAAGCAACCAAGATGTCTTTCAAGGGGTGAATAGATAAATAGATAAATAAACGTTGGTACATCCAGAAAACTGACCAGGAGTATTACTCAGTGCTAAAAAGAAATGAGCTCTCAAGTCATGGAAGAACCTTAAATGCATACTATTAAGTGAAAGAAGTCAATTTGAAAAGGCTCCTGAATCATACTGTATGATTCCAACTATATGACATTCTGGAAAAGACAAAACAATGATTAGTGGTTGTAGAAGGTGAGTGTGAATAAGCGGAGCACAGAGGATTTGGGGATCAGAGGAACTATTTTGTATGATACCATAATGAGGGATACAAGGCATTATACACTTGTCTAAACCAAAAGAACATACACCACCAACAGTGAACCCAAAAGTAAAATATGGATATTTTGATTATGATGTGTCAATGTAGATGCCCAAGAATGGGAACTGTTGATAATGGGGAGGCTCTACATGTGTTCAGGTAAGTGGTATATGGAGAATCTTTGTGTCTTCCAGGTCAATTACCCTATGAACCCAAAACTACCCTAAAAAAGAATTCCTTGTTAAAAAGGGCCCAATATTCTTGCTATTCTTGTCCGCCTCACTGGCTTTTCTCTTAACACCCACGCGAGGAACCAGCATTCTAGGCCAGTCCATTGTGCGCGCTCTCAGAATGCAGACCCCCATCAGCAACTAAAAGAGGTGCTGCCAGGGTAGTCTCTCAAAGCGCTCCAACTATAGGCCGCAGGCCAGAGAAAGTGCAGGACTGCGAGCCAATCGTGTGCAGCCCTTCAGGGACCCACAGAGGCGGGATCCGCGCTTACCAGGGCCCCCAGGGGTCGCTGTCATGGCGACGGCCAACCGCAGACCGCGGAGACGCGGAGCCGTGCGCCACCGCGGCTGACCTTCACAGGTGGCGTGGAAACCCTGGAAACCCGACTCAACAAACGACACACTGTACACAAAGAAGCCTCCTCCCACGGCCCACCGACCTCCGAGCGGAGGTTTCCAAGCGGAGGCGGAAAGAGAAGCGGTGCGCACGCGCAGAGGCTGAGGCTCGCGTTTCCCCAGCGCGCAGTCTCCTGGCTGGTGTTCGCTGTCCAAGTGTCGCGCGAATTGCTCTTTTGATAGATAGTCAGAAAACGGGTAGTTCCGAAGAGCTCTACGTCAGGGAAGGCGGAGGATGAAGTTCCGAGATTGAAAGAAGTCACTGGTGTGGGGTACGATTTTCCAAAGTTGGATGTATTTTCTTTTTGATTTTAGTAACATCGTAAAATGACATAGAATCATTTCTCCATAAAAATGAGTGTTTCTTCACAAGGATACAAAAGTGATAACTTGAAAGTTTTCTGCCTCCCTCTTCCTCTCTACCAGGGTTCATTCAGGAAACGCTTGTAGCACTGGATTCTCTCACCCATTGCCTTTTTTGCCCACAACTTATTTTCCGCAGCCAAGCTGAAGCTAGAGGAAAGACCTCAGGGGAAATCAGAGCACTGACATTTTCTGGTCCTGTCACTCTAATACAGCTCAGTCAGTGGTAAAATTAGGATGGCACATCACCTGACACATAACGCAAATGGCAGCCCTTCAGATTTTAATATATTTTAGTCTTTCCACACCTGGGTTGTAATTATTTCCATTTGTCTTCAGTCAGGCCTCCAGTATTCTCTGAATGTTCTCTAGCTGAATCAAAAAGATTTCTAGAGTTTCAGAAAACACTAAATTCTAATGATTTCAGCGTGTTGTTCTTTTTTTTAAGAAAAAATCTTTGAGATATACAGTTGGTTGACTCCTATTTGATTTGTAGTTTCCTAATGATAAAAAATGTTATACATTTAGTGTCCAAGTCAGTGTATTCATAGAATTTGTAACCACACCACAACCAACTTAAGAACATTTTCATCACCCCAGAGCAGTTACTTTCCATTTTTTCCCCAACCCTATGCAACCACAAATCTACTTTTTGTTTCTATGGATTTGCCTTTGCTGGACACTTCACATAAATGAAATCCTACAATGTTACAGTCTTTTGTCACTGGCTTCTTTCATTTAGCATATGTTGGCAAGGTCCCTCAGTATTGTAGCATGCATCACTACTTTATTCTTTATGGCCAAGTAAAATTCCATTGTTTGTATATACCACACTTTATTTGTCCATTCATCAATTAATGGACATTTGCATTGTTTCTGCTTCCTGGCTACTAATAACTAATACTGCTTATAAGCATTCATGTGTAGATTCTGTGTGGAAGTATGTGGAAGGTATTTCTCTTGAAGTAGAAGTGCTGGTTCATTTGGTAACTTTATGTTTAACTTTTTGAGGAACTGCCAAAGTTTTTATTTATTTTATTTTACTTTATTTGAGAGAGAGACAGCACGAGTGGGAGGGAGAGAGAGAATCTCAAGCTGACTCCATACTGAGTGTGGGGCCCGACACAGGGCTCGATTTCATGACCCTGAGATCATGACCTGAGCCAAAACCAAAAGTCGGATGCTTAACTGACTGTGCCAACCAGGCACCCCTGCCAAACAGTTTTTAAAGGCAGCTATTCCCATTTTACGTTCTCTTCAGCACAGTATAAGAGTTCCAATTTTTCTATATCCTCAAGAATAATTGTTATTTTCTGTTGATTTTATAAAAATTGTAGCCATCCAAGTGCATAATCAAGTAGTATCTCATTCTAGTCTTGATTTGCATTTCCCTAGTGATTTATAATGTTGAGCATATTTTCAAGTGCTTATTTTTTTAAATATTTTATTTATTTATTTATTTGACAGAGAGAGACACAGCGAGAGAGGGAACACAAGCAGGGGGATTGGGGGGGGGGAGAAGCAGGCTTCCCGCCAAGCAGGGAGCCCAATGTGGGGCTCGATCCCAGGACCCTGGGATCATGACCTGAGCCGAAGGCAGACGCTTAACGACTGAGCCACCCAGGTGCCCCTTTTCAAGTGCTTATTGACTATTTTCTTTGGAGAAATGTTTATTCAAATCATTTGCTCATTTTTAAAAAATATTTACTTATTTATTTGAGAGAGAGAGAGAGGGAGCATGCAAGTTGGTGGAGGAGCAGAGGGAGAGAGAGAGAGAGAGAGAATCCCAAGCATATTCCATGCTGAGCGCAGAGCCCGATGCAAGGTTCAGTCTCATGACCCTGAGATCATGACCTGAGCTGAAACCAAGAGTCGGACACTTAACTGACTGAGCACCCACGCGCCCCTTTTTGCTCATTTTTAGTTGGGTCATTTATATATACCACAATTCAATTTGTATATACCATAATTCAATTCAATTCAATTCAATGTAATTCAGAGTTTTAGAGAATTGAGAATTTACATATTAATATACCTTGGTTCCCTTTAGCTGCTTAAAAAAATTTTTTTGTTGAATTGTAAAAATTCTTTATGAAGTCTGACTCCCAGTCCCTTAACATAGATGATTTGCAAATATTTTCTCCCATTCTGTAGGTTGTCTTTTCACTTTCTTGATGCTATCAGCTGCACTTCAAAAGTTTTTACGGCCTATTGGTTATGGTATTAGGTCAATTTTCATAGATTTTACGGTTATGAATTGATTCAATTAAAATTACTCTTCACTGTCCATTTGTTAGAGCTGTGCACTGAAGTATGTGGCATGAAATGATGATGGCTCAGATTTGGTTGAAGGTACTCCAGCAAAGAAATAAAGGGTAGATGAAGCAAAAGTAGAAAATCTTGAAAATTGTTGAATCTGAGGTTGTAGGATGGGTACACGGAGCTATATCATACTATTTTCTCTACTTTTGAGTAGGAGAAAATATATTTTTATACCAAATATGTATCTAATTACTTTTTTTGGCACAAAGGAAAGGTTTCATATGTTAAGGGTATATGGTGCCTTGAGGAAAGAAGAGCAGATATACAGAGCCTTATGAGATTAGAATGTGAAAATTGGGCATTGACTTGAGAGTTTGGAGATACTTTTGATGATATATATAAATAGGAATAAGGAATGTATTGTTAGTTCTCAGTAACCCAATCTGGGTAGAAGTGGTGACTTTATACATATTAGAGGAGTGGAATAAGGTGAAGCCATTTGTGGAAGGATGACCTTTGATTCAGTTTACATAACTCACTCTTGAGTAAGAGTGTAGATGGCCTTAGAATTTAGTTATTTTCCAGTCAGCACTTATGTGTGTCTGTTTCTTTATTTGTGTGTGTGTATACATATATGTAAAAATTTTTTTTACATGTATGGTTGACCCTGAACAATGTGGAGACATGGAGGGTTAGGGGCACTGACCCCCTGCACAGTTGAAAATCTGTGTATAACTTTTGACTCCCCCAAACCTTAGCTACTGATAGCCTACTGTTGACCCAAAGCCTCACCAATAATATAAGCAGTCGATTAACACACATTTTGTATGTCATTTGTATTGTATACTGTACTCTTACAATAAAGTAACCTAGAGAGAAGAAAATTAAGAAAATCATTAAAAAATCATAAGAGAAAATAACATTTACAGTACTTTCTGAATCAAAAAAATCTGTGTAAAAGTAGACCTGCATAGTTCAAGCCTATGTTGTTCAAGGGTCAACTGTGTATGTACGTATGTATATAATATTTATAAATATTATGTTTACTATAAAATATATTTTTTAGTTTTCTGGTCTCTATTTTGTTGTTTACAAGTTTTATGCCAGCCCAATTGCTTATTCTTTTAAGTTTAAAGCAGTCTGTTTTCACTCTCTGGTTCCCTCTAATTACTTTTTAGATAAGCCTACATTGATAACTTCCACTTACTTGATATCCATTTCTCAGGCTTATTCTGCAGTTCAGGAGACCTTTTTTTTAACCCAAAAGATGCTTAATGTCATCTGCCAAATTTGGAGTCTTTGCAATATATGCTGTCTTCTACATAACTTAATGCTAAAATCTGAGGATCCCACTAATTACAAAATCTCTAAAATGTGATTAAGAAAAAAACTAATGTAATTCAATGTAATTCAGGGTTTTTGAGAATTGAGAATTTAAATATTATATACCTTGGTTCCCTTTAGCTGCTTAAAAAAATTTTTTTTTAATTTAACAAATTTGTCAGGCATTTTTGCCACTTCACCCAGTTAGCTGTGTTTACTTATAGTGTTAAACAATTCATGAAAACACATATATTCATGGGATTAAAAATAAACCTTAGACATCACGTAGAATATAAGCATTGGTTATAGTGAGAAGGGCAATGGTCAGAAGGAGACTTGGATTCTAGTTTCAGCTATATGCCTCTAGCTATATAAGTAGTCTCAGTGCCCTTTAACTAGGATTTCATTTTGTTAGTAAAAGTAGGGACATTTCATTAGATGACCTTAATGCTTTTTTTCTGATTCTGAAATTATAAGCAGAGCCATCGAAAATGTGCATAAATTTAATACAGCTTACTTCAGTTTGGAGAGTCCTAATTGCTAGAAAGTTTCTCCTTAAATTCCAATAGTTAGTTCCTAGATGTGTGACTTTAGGAAAGTTATTCTCTTATTACTTCGTCTATGAAATGCAATAATAAACCACAAGGTAAACTTTCTTTTACTGAAGTCTGCTCTGTCTGATAATTACCAAAGCCACTCCAGGCTTTTTAAAAAAAATTTTTAGTGCTTGCATGGTATATTTTTTTCCCCTTTTTACTTTTTAGCCTATATATTCCATTACGTTTCAGATAGTTTCTTGTAGATAGTATACAATCAAGGTTTTTTTTTAGCTGATCTGTGTTTTAATTACCATATTAGACCATTTAAGTTTAATATAATTTTTTATATTGTTGGATTTAGGTCTACCATTTATCATTAATTGTCTCTCTGCTTTTCACTCCTTTTTTCCTTTC